GAGAGAGAGAGAGAGAGAGAGAGAGAGAGAGAGAGAGAGAGAGAGAGAAAGAGAGGGAGAGAAGAGAGAGCATGGAGGAATTATATTGTGTTACATAATTGTTCAGAAGAGCAGTCGTTTGTACAGGTTATTGTCTAGGACAGGTGGTTAAGGTTGTAAGAGCAGGTTTGACCAAATGTGAGGCATCGTGGTGAAACCAGGAGCTCGTCAAAAGAAAAGAATCAACGAAAAAGGCATTTTTCCCCCAGTTTGGCAATTTTTATCGAAATTGTGTATTTTGGCTAAACAAATTTTATATACATGAGAAAAAACATTTCTATGTGAATTTTATAGAAAAACCTTGTTTGAAGGCACTAACAAGTCATTTTCACTTTTCAAGGACTGTTAATTAAGCTGTTGAGGTTACCAAACATTGGCGGCCATTTTCTCAATGAAACCAGCCGACCCCACCTTCTTCAATCGCAAGTTTCTCGACTTCTATTCAAGCTAAATTGATATTTTTAAAATTGAAAGCAGGGCAAATGACGAATATAATAAGCTTTCAGACCAGACCATCAATGATTTATTTATAGAGGCACCAGCCATCCATGTATAAGCTTTCAGATGAAGTCAATAACTCCACATGTCCAAAAATTGACGAACGCCTGATTCCGCCTCGCTGTGACACATCAATATTTCGATAATGTGAGGGGACGGCACGGGAGACTCACCACAGGTCCCATGGGTCCGGGCAGACCGGGCAGTCCAGGTTTTCCAGTGGCTCCTGGGATACCTCCAGGTCCGAGAGGTCCAGAAGATCCAGGGGGTCCCTGAAGAGGTGAAAGGTTACATGTGAAATGGAGCGCAAACCAAGATAACCACAAAATTGTATACCACCCACATAGCTAACACCGACATAGAGAACAAAGTTTGAGGTCTCAAATTTTTTCATTATATTATACATATAATATTTATTTATTTATTCATTTTTGGGGGGGTATTTTAAACATTTAAAAAATATGTTTAGACAGATTTTAACAAAAGAAAGCAAGGGAAAACTAAACTGATGAAAAATCTGATTACCAAAAAATCAAAATCTGAGTTGCTAGGTTAAAGACGAGAGCAACTATAAAAGTAATAGACAAGAGACAAGAAAGAGAAGAAATTCAATAAGGAAAGACAGATATTTATAAGTAAAAGAGGAAGAAAACGAAATCAATGAAAAATCACAATTACGAAAAAAAAATAAATCTGAGTTTCTGCAAGACAGAAGAATACAAAAATGAAAGAAGCATAGTTATGGGAAAGATGAAAGAAGCAAACGAGAAAGAAACAAAAACCGCTCGCTCATATGATCTTATGCAGTTGTGAGCGCTGTAAAACTTTAACTAAAACAAAAGAAAAACCAACTCAGACTGACCGTTTGACCAGCAGGGCCGGTCTGGCCGGGGGCACCTGGGGCTCCAACAGTTCCCTGGGGACAGAGAAACGCTACAAGGTCAAATATTGAGCATAGACGAATTTTATCGTATCGGTACAAGGTCAAATATTAAGCAAAGACAAATTTTATCGTATCGGTACAAGGTCAGATATTGAGCAAAGACAAATTTTATCATAACGGTACAAGGTCAAATACTGAACATAGACTAATTTTATCATAACGGTACAAGGTCAAATACTGAACATAGACTAATTTTATCGTAACGGTACAAGGTCAAATACTGAACATAGACTAATTTTATCGTAACGGTACAAGGTCAAATACTGAACATAGACTAATTTTATCGTAACGGTACAAGGTCAAATACTGAACATAGACTAATTTTATCGTAACGGTACAAGGTCAAATACTGAACATAGACTAATTTTATCGTAACGGTACAAGGTCAAATACTGAACATAGACTAATTTTATCGTAACGGTACAAGGTCAAATACTGAACATAGACTAATCTTATTGCAATGAGTAAAGCAAAAAAACAACACTCATAAAAAACAACAACAACGGATTCCAAGAGAAACAACATTTTTAAACAGCTGATGCTTATAATTAAATGGACTACCAGTTTTATGCTACATCACCTCTTCCTTTACCTATAATAATAATAATAATAATAATAATAATAATAAAAATAATAATAATAATAATAATAATAATAATAATAATAATAATAATAATAATAATAATAATAATAAACAGCATTTGTATAGCGCATACCCCCGCTAAACAGCAAGCTCTATGCACTTTACACTATATTGCTACACCAGCAGACCGTATATATTCGAACCCACGACCTTACGGTTACGAGTCTGAGAGCCTAACCACTTGGCCACCGACGTCACATAAGAACACATCATGCCAAGTTCTACCCCCTCCTTTACCACAAGAACATATCACGCCAAGTTCTACCTCCAACTCCCCTCCCCTTCCAAAACTGACTTGATAAACTCTACTTACTGTAAGCTTGTAGAGTCCTCAGAAAGTCCCAACTATTCCTTTAATAATAAATAGTTTGGTTCTT